TGAGAATATCCTCAGGCATCTTACGCAATTCAGTAGCAGTTTTTCATAAGTTACCATTTTCAAGTTCTTCGCGGTCCTTGATCATTTTTGAAATGATTGTATTCCGTAATTTTTCTAGTTTTATACTATTTCTTATGAAGTGAAGATCACCCAACCGAGGCAGGCAGCCTTCAGTGGAAGTAGAGTCTTAACCATAATTTAAGCACTTATGAATATATTATCATTATCTCATTTAACATTACATGAAATAAAAAAGATTATTCAAAAAATTAGCCAACCACAGTAGCAGGAGAAACATTTCTTGTATGCAAACATTAAATTTCAGATCTAATGTACAGGGTTGGTAGAAATAGTAAAAGAAATATAATTAAGGTGACCATGGTCTGTTAACCCCACTAAGGTCTTTAAAATATACATTACCTACCAGGGAAAATTTAAATACATGAGGTTTTTTAGACAAAAGGGTAGATTCAGTTTAGACCCAGACCTTCTGGTGAGGGGGAAAAAAGCATTATTGAGTATAGAGTAGCCTTTTGAAATGCAGAGTCCCTTTACATTTTAGAAAATTACCTTGAAGGCTGCTAAACAATGCAGGCCCAGTAAGGCCATCACAACTGCCAGAAGGATGGTGGCTAAGTTCCGTGTGTCCCAGATGGTCTCTACCAGAGGGATGCTGCCCACCTGCCAGTCATAGCACAGGGTGACAGGTGCAAGCAGAAGCCACATGTTGAAGGCCAAGAGGTAGGAATAGGTGAGGAATCTACAAAAAGAAGAAGAATCACTGAAACATAACTCAAGATGCATGACATTTTGTAAACATTCATTCACTGTTTCTATTAAATTGCCAACATTATCCTACAGGAAAAGACAAGGTAGTATGGAATTTCTTTAGTCATTATATTGAACATTTTGGAAAATACCTAATAGTTTCTAGTCACTGTGGTAGACGCTGGCCTTTCAGTGGTGAGCAAGTAAAGACCTAGATTCCATGACATATACTTTAAAAGTATCATGCAGATAAATACATAATGACCTGAGATAAACGTTAAGAAGGGAAAGTTTGACGAAAGCATTTGACAGGAATGCTGCCCTGTTGCCTATGATTCCCTGGGTAAGAGACGTCTGAACTGTCCATTTTTAATAGTCCCCAGAACCCTGGAATAGATATAAAAATATTTACTTATTTTAATAACAGATTATCATCTTATAGCAAGTTGATTCTTATTGAATTATTTCCAAAAAATCAAAACATCTGTGGTAGAAAAATAATGCTTCTTATTCACAAATGGAGAGACTAGCTATCAGGAGGCAAGTACGAGTGTCCTTGCAAACAGGAGTAGCCAGGAGGACCCCGGGAAGGAAATAATGAATGGGGGTGTTACTAGCATTTCCTGGCTGTGCCTAAGCACTGCGAGCAAGTGGAAAACATCCTAACTGATCTCCTTCCTACTGGGGTAGAGAAAATTGAATTTATTTAAATTTATTAAGTCAACACAAATTCACTAAGTAGTGTTCTAGGCCCTGGAGAACTGTAGAATTCTCAGCACATAACAAACTCCACCTAAGCCTCTGTACTAGGGGATGACCAAACCCAGCACTGCTCCTAGGAGCCTAAGGCCACATTCCTAGGATAACCGACCCCAGCCTCCCATGAAAGTGCTTGCCTGAGAAAGCTCATCACAGCCAGAAGAATTACTGCATGTTCTAGCTAACACCTCAGGAGATGCCCCTTTTTAGGGTGTTTTCTGCAAAGGGCTTACAGTTGTGAATATGTATCGCTTACAACTCAAAAGTGTCCTTCTCTAAGATTGGAGAGCCACTGCATTAAAATGTCATCATCAGGAAGGACAGGGCCTGTTTCCCAGTCTCTGCGGAGGCTGGAACCCTGATTTTGAACACTGCCAGCCAGCAGACTGGGCAAGCCAAATCGAAGTGGCACTGCCCAACCCTTGCACTTCTCTAGCTCTGCTGAGCCCCAGCTTGGCCCCCTCTCTTGTTCTCCCTTTGAAGCATCTAGTCATCTTTGCACAAATCATAATGGCACTCAGTTCTTAGCCCTATTGTCAGTAGTTACTAAATAAAATGTTTTCACTGCTTTAGCTAATGTCCAGCTGTGTTTATCTTTGAATCCTAGATGGGATTAAACAGAATAAGTCAATGGGTTCCTTGTCCTCCAGGAACGTACAATCCAATAGTGAAAACAGGATGTACAGAACTAACGAAGCAGGATGAGATGAGCACCATGAGAGTGCAGAATGTGAAGAACAGTCGTCGGCTATTGCTCAGATTCTTTTGGAGAAATTTTTTGGATTGGCAAAGTGGTTAGATCAGAGAGCTTCTAAGTTACCTTGCAGTGCCATGAGTCAAGTCACCTTGAATTCCCCTAAACATGTACCTGCTAATTTGGGACATACTTCCCAAATCTTCCCAACTGATCTCCTTCCTTTTCTGTATATTCCATATATTCCAGGTTGACGGTCAAAAATCATTAACAATGATCAGGTGAGGCTCAGTGACAGGGATTTTACTCATTGGCCCAACTCTCAAATCAGAACATAGAAATGGGTTTCCCAACACTCCTCTTTGGTGTTTTTTTAATTTTTTTATTTTTATTATTATTATTATTATTTAATATATCTTTACTGATTTCAGAGAGAGGAAAGGAGAGGGAGAGAGAGAGAGATAGAAACATCAATGATGAGAGAGTCATTGATCGAGCCCGCAACCCAGGCATGTGCCCTGACCGGGAATCGAACCCCGATTGCCTGGATCCCAGGTCAACGCTCAACTGCTGAGCCACTCTCAGCTGGGCCTCTTTGTTTTCTTTAAAAGTTTGTTTTTATTGATTTCAAAAAGAGGGAGGGAGAGGGAGAGGGAGATAGAAACATCAATGATGAGAGTCACTGATCAGCTTCCTCCTGCAGGCTCCCCACTGGGGATCAAGCCCATTACCCGGGCATGTGCCCTGACCTCTCAGGAATCAAACCGTGACCTCCTAGGTCGACGCCCAACCAGTGAGCAACACCAGCCAGGCTCCTCTCTGTTATTTTTAATAAAATGTTAAAGTGCCAAAAGTGTAGCATATATTGAAATCTTGAAGAAGTCCAAGCTTTGTTTTTTAATAAAAATGAAAACAAAAACTGCTGTATCCCTTTTAGGCTTGGGCCCGAGAAACTGTCTTATGAGAATGCCAGTTCCGTAGAATGATGATTGGGTCACTTGGTGCGTCTATTTTTCACAGCTTCTAAACTACCTAACTCTTAGTTCAGTAAGATTCTCTGTGACAGCTTTAAAGAAGAATGCTGAGCCATCAAACTCAACAGGAAAGTCATGCAGCTTTGTGGCTCAGTTACACCCCAGATCTTAAAAATTACTTTAAGCACAGATCTCTTGGCTCTGAAGGAAAACTTCACCTCTCTTCAGCAGGAAGCAGCTACAAAAGAGACCCTGCACCCCTTTTCTCTGAAAGAACTCAGAGCCAAGATACTTGAGGGGGGAATGTGGTAAGCGGTGAGAGAGATGTGAGCAGAGCAAGGACAATGGGCGAGGTACAGGTCACCAGGGTGAAAGCCCCCAGTCCCTTGCAATGGACAATTGTAGGGTGGGACCCTGCCCCCAGGGTGACCTTTCCTCCCCTAGCAAATTGCTGGTTACTCGGTTTGGACCCCCTGACCTTTCCTCCCTAGAGATAACATCTAGGCCTCTGTGTATTTCAGCTCCAAGCCCAGAAAAGCAGCAAAACCAGACAAGGTGACCCCATGGCTGACCTCAGGACCAGCTGCATTGGATAATGAACCCCTGCCCTGGTGCAGACCAATCATTGGAGACCAGACCCTGAAAGAGCACACCTGGAAAGCTGCTGAATATTCTATTAAGATCTTCCCCTGGGACCTCCCCTAAAATCTCCACCCTTAAGACCCTTAGTAAGGAGGACCAGGCGCACTCTCCTTCCTGGGAGCTGGCCCAAGCCTTTCCCTTCCCTCTCTCCCTCTCCCTCCCCCAGGCGAGTAACCATTACCCTCCTCACTCCCAAGCTCCAAGGGCCCTTCCTTTGCCTCTATAACTTGTTTCCTCAGCCCATCTCTTCTACAAATTACTTCTTCTACCTCTGTGATTCTATAAATGTTCTCTTATAGTATGAAAAAAATATATATCTCTTTTTCTTGATATAACAGTTATAAGAAATGATTATAAATGGCTACAAAAAAACCTGTTAGGTGAAAAGCTGATGGGGTACTTTATAATGAATGGATCAGGCTAAAACAGGTGACTACCAGCTAATTAATTTAAATGTCACAGAAAGTGAGACTAAAAGCCAGCTGTCCTGATGGATATACGTACATTCCCACCTATGAAGCAGTCTTGTCAAAAAATAAATAAAAATTAAACTTGAATCTGATCAAGCCCTTTATTACCAGTTCACATCAAATAGAGAAAACACTGAAACATGCTAAGGATACCAGGGCATGCAATATGCAAAATTCAGCATGTTGCAAATTCTAAAGAACAAAGGATGGCAGTTTCTTCAACAAATAATGGCAGTGGCTGGGGGTAGGGCAGGTGGCAGAAAGAAGAAAGACACTTATAAATTAAAAGCGTCTTAAAAGATACATCTAACAAAGTACAGGTTTTGTTTAGATGAAAATTCAGACAAACAACTATTAAAAGTAACCACTTAAGAGACAGAAAAAATTGAAACACTGATTGGATATCTGATACTAGAGAATCCCTGTTAATTTTGAAAGTATGATAATGGTGGTGTGGTTCTCTTTTATAAGAATCCTTTTCTTTTAAAAATATACATTAAGAGATATGCATGTAAAAGGAGACTGTAAGGACAGAAAAACGTCCTCCCTTTCCTTTGCTGTGGCCTTCCACAATTTATGAGACACATCTGGTAATTAAACCCCAAGATTGTTGGCTCCTCTGATTCAAATAGCTCCTCTGTTCAAACTGTGGGACAAGATAAGCTACTCTCAAAGCTACATTTTTGCATCCCCCTCAGCCCTGCTGTTTTCACAAGTCAAGGATAATGCGCACCAAGGAGTCTCTGGTTAGTAGAAAGTTCCCTTCCCCCCTTCCCTTTAAACAAGCCTCTTTCGAACTCCTCATAACTTTTGCTCTAGGCATGTTTTACAGGTTTGGGGAAAATACTGATAAGACACCTCCCTGGGACTTCTGCCGGACTGTCTCCTGGAAAGCAAACTGTAACTTTACAAGACAGCCCCTAAAATCTGCTCAACTTCAACAGAAAGCCCCTCTCTTCCTTGTCACCTAGCAACAGCAACCAACTGCTCTTTAAAGTAGAAGCCACTCTTTGTTCCCTGTCCTGTATTGACTAGCAATACTTGGCCCTTTCCTCTCTTGAAAGTAAAAATAACTGTCCTCTCTACATCTCTTCTTTTAGTTGTGAATTCTTTCATAACCTGCATCACCAGCCAAACCCTAACGGAGATGATATCTGGTATTTGCTTCAAGGGGACCGGAAACAAGGAGAAAGAAGTGGGTGGGAGTGTGAATGAAATAATGGGCCATGAGCTATGATTGCTGAAACTAGAAAATGGGTATATAGAGGTTCTTTATGCCATTTTCTCTACTTTTGCAGTTTTGATATTTTCCGTAATAAAAACTATATTTTTTAAACAGGTGGACAAGGCAACAACAGAATTGCAACAGAAATACTTCCTTACATTATAGCTGCAAAGGATATGCAGAAATTTTTATTTGCATGTTTTATGTTCACATCTGCCCTTGCCCTGA